CACTTATGAGTGAGAGAGAACATGTGGTGTTTGGTTTTCTGTTCTTTCGTTAGTTTGCTGAGAATGATAGTTTCCAGCTTCATCCATGTCTGTGCAAAGGACATGAACTCATCCTTTTTTATGGTTGCATAGTATCCCATGGTGTATATATGCCACATTTTCTTTATCCAGTCTATCATTGATGGGCATTTTGGTTGGTTCCAAGTCTTTGCTATTGTGAATAGTGCCACAATAAACATCCATGTGCATGTGTCTTTATAGTAGAATGACTTATAATCCTTTGGGTTATATCCCAGTAATGGGATGCTAGGTCAAATGATATTTCTGGTTCTAGATCCTTGCGGAATCGCCACACTGTCTTCCACAATGGTTGAACTAATTGACACTCCCACTAACAGTGTAGATTTTGTTTTAATAATTTATCCATGCAGAAAAAAATGAAAGAATAAGAGAATCATTATCTGGAAATAATCATAATAATTCAAGTAATAATAATCATTGAAATGCTACTCTAGTGGGTGAAATTCTGAGAAGCCAGATATTTACAAAGCTTCAAAGTATCTTCACACGGATAGTTGGGTAAATAATAGCTTTATCATGGACAAACGTGTCAGATTCTCCTTAACTAAATAATAAGAGTTAACATTGGCCAGTATTGGAACCATGTGACAGCATATGCCTCCAGACATGCTGCACTGGGAAGAACTCAGCCTCACTTGCGCAACATTCCTGCCCTAATGGCATAACTTAAATCTAAGTATGAGGAAACATCATATGAACCCAAATTTAGAGGAAATCTACAAAATAACTGGCTTATATTTTTCAAAACCATAATGCCATGAAAATCAAAGACAGACTAAGGAACTATCTCAGATTTTAAAGAAACAGGACAATTGAACACAACACATCATGGACTGTGAAAATCCACCCACCTGGATTTTCTATGGCTCTAAAAGATATTATGGAGACAGTTGGCACCTCTAAATAAGGGCTGTAGATGATTAGATACTAATGTTAACCAAATTTTAATTTCCTGATAAGTTGATTATACTACAGCTGTTTAAGATAAGTCCTTGTTTTTAGGAAATACACACTAAAATATTAGAAGTAAAGAGGAATTGGGTCCCAAACTTATAAACAGTTCAGGAAAAAAGTCTATGTTATATACCTACATTTATATTTATCTAGAAAGAGAGAAAAAGAAAGAATAGAGCAAATGTAAGTAGTCAAATGTTAACATTTGGAAAACTGTACCCAAGAATTCTTTGTACTACTCTAACAAGTTTTCCGTAATTCTGGAATTATAAAAATAAAACATATCTAAAAATAAAAATCAATTTTTAAAACTATTTACAAATTATAACCACATGGAATGAAATGAACCATGAATCCATATTGATACAAGTAAACCAACAAATCAAAAGTTCAATGAAGAACAAATACATTCACATAGTCTCAAATTTCCTCCCCACAGAATACTAATTACAAGATGAAAAAGTAACATAACAGAGGGGAAATCCAGAAAATACCACTACTGGTGATCAAGGCTAACATCACCAGTAATAGGACAAATCAAAATTTTAGGTCACATGATAGCATGCAATGAAATCATAAGATACTCATCAAAAACATACGATCTAAGTCTAATCATAGAGAAACATCAGAGAAACCCAACTGAGGAAGTTTCTACATTACTGGACTTAATTCTTCAAAAGATTCAAGATCATAAATGCTAACAGAGTGAGTCACTTTTCTAGACCAAAAGAGTCTGAGAGACATGGCAATTAAATGCAATCCATGGTTCTGAATGGGATTCTTTTGCTATAAAGGACATTATAGACAAATAATAAAACTTAAAAAGAATCTGAGGATAACATGATTGAATATATTCATGTTATCTTTCTGATTATGAAAGTTGTATTGTAGTTATATAGAATGTCCTGACTTGTAGAAACATTCACTAAAGTAATCAGGGGTGATTTCATAATGTCAGTAATTTATTCTCAAGTGGCTACAGGGGAAAAAGTTCTTTGTATTAAAACTTGAAACTTTTCTCTATTTTTTGTTTGTTTGTTTGTTTTGAGATGGAGTTTCACTCTTGTTGCCCAGGCTAGAGTGCAATGGTACAATCTTGGCTCACTGCAACCTCCGCCTGCCAGGTTCAAGTGATTCTCCTGCCTCAGCCTCCCAAGTAGCTGGGATAACAGGCCGTGCCTAGCTAATTTTTTTGTATTTAGTAGAGATGGTGTTTCACAATGTTGGTCAGGCTGGTCTTGAACTCCTGGCCTCAGGTGATCCACCTGTCTCGGCCTCCCAAAGTGCTGGGATTACAGGCGTAAGCCACTGTGCCTGGCCCTTCTCTCTAATTTTAAGACTGTTTCCAAAAAGTTAATCAAAAATAAACAAACAAACAGAAATGGTGAACAGCCTTAGGCAAACCTTATTTTTCAACATTCTATATAATTCAGTGTTGAAAATTAAAATTATATAACTTTGATAGAATAGTAATAATTGTAATACATCTAATATTGACAATGACCACAGTACCAGTGTATAAAAATGATATGTCTGTCTATATCTAAATCTAAATCCCTAAATATAGTGGTAAAAATTATAAAATACCAGTAAGTCATCAATTTATTCCACTAAAGTATTAATGACAACTTTGTTGTTTGGTTGTTTAAACAGCTGAAATGTGGGCAGTTTGAGTATGTAAAACTCAAAAACTCTGGTTTTCATTTGCAAGATTCACTGAAAAGTTAAAGAGACCAAGGAACATAATTTAAAACACTATATAAATTATCTTTAGACATATAAATACAAAAATATTTTCATTTAATAAACATCTTTGCATGTGACACATTTAATGGGAAACAAAATATCATGTTAACAGCCTAGTAATAAAATTTTATTACCTTTCAGATTTTTTTTCGTTTGTCAGCACACATTCTTGTTTTGTTTTTGAGATGCAGTCACCCTGTCGCTCAGGCTGGAATGCAGTGGTGTGATCTTAGCTCACTGAAACCTCTGCCTCCTGAGTTCAAGTGATTCTCCCACCTCAGCCTCCTTTGTAGCTAAACCTACAGGTATTCGACACCATGCCCAGCTAATTTTTGTATTTTTAGTAGTGACAGGGTTTCACAATATTGGCTAAGCTGGTCTTGAACTCCTGACCTCAAGTGATCTGCCCGCCTCAGCCTCCCAAAGTGCTGGGATTACAGGCATGAGCCACTGCACCCGGTCAGCACGTATTCTTGTTATGCTTTTAAAACTAGTTATGGATTTAGATTTTACTCATTAATAGATTCTAGTGCAGAAGCTATAGAGCAGCAGTCCCCAACTTTTTGGCACCAGTGACCAGTTTTGTGGAAGACAATTTTTCCACAGATGGGGGTTTGGGGAATGGTTTCAGGATGATTCAAGCACATTATATTTATTGTGTATTTATTTCCATTATTATTACATCATAACATATAATGAAATAATTATACAACTCATCATAATATAGAATCAGTGGGTGTCCTAAGCTTGTTTTTCTGTAACTAGATGGTCTCATCTTGGGGAGATGGGAGACAATGACATATCATCAGGCATTAGAGTCTCATAAGGAGCGTGTAACCTAGATCCCTTGAACATACAGTTCATGATAGGGTTTTCACTCCTATGAGAATCTAATGCCTTCACTTATCTGACAGGAGGTGGTGCTTAGGTGGTAATGTGAGCAAGGAGGAGTGACTGTATACAGATGAAGCTTCACTTGCTTGACTGCCACTCACCTCCTGCTGTGCAGCGTGGCTCTCAACAGGTCTTGGACCCCTCTGTGGCCTGCGGGTTGGGGACTCCTGCAATAGAGGACCCAGATTTAAATTTAGAGGAAGATAGGATGAAAAAGAAAGAATTGTATTCTTTATCTAAATGACTTCATAGTTAGCTAAGATAAAGTCAGCAAAACTTGAAAAGTTTATCAGCATTAATAAGAATGAAAAATATGCACAATATGCAATTACTCTTAAATATAATTTGCTGATAGTTGCACACTGAATTCCTTATCATGGTAGCTAAGTATCAGAGGTTCTCGTTTTTTCACTCTTCATTCATGTATTTAGCAACCATGTGCTGAGGTACTAGGACAAGCACTGGAATTACAAGATGAAGATGATACAGTCTACCCCTCAACAACTGTTTGCTATAATCTGAAAAAACAAACAGGCAATTCCCATAGAGAGTCATAGAAACAATGACAGGCATTTATCAGAAGACACAGAAGAGATACCAGCCCAGGTTTGTGTCAATATTGGTGGAGGTGATTCATAGGTTGATAACTGAAGGATAAAGAAAATACACATAGGATAGAGGGAAGAAGTAAATGCAAAGAGCTGCAGATGAGGACAATCACTGTGGAGCTCCATGTAGTCTAGTGTGGCTGGATGCTAGAACAAAGGGGCAGAGTATGGTGAGTGGTTAACAAGACATAACTATACACTTTCTTATGATTATGTTTTCACATTTTTCACTAAATGGATATAAGAAAAAATATTTAATGTAGTTTTTACTAACCAAGCAATGGAGAGGAATACAGTACACTACTTACATTTTATTTCAGAAATCAATGATTTGAATTTAATTCATAAATTTTGGCAACATACCTTCATCTACTTCTGTCGTTTCATTTTCTTGCAACACCTGTTGCCTCTGAAATAAATCAAATATTACTTATAATGTTTCAGTCAAACAAAAGACATTACCATGGAAACCTGTTGTAAGTCAAGGAGCATCTGTACTGTAGATTGATCATTCCTAATCTAAAAATCTGAAATTCAAAATGCTCTAAAATCTGAAACTTTTTGAGCATAGACATGACACCACAACTGCAACATTCCACACCTTACCTCATGACAGGCTGCAGTGAAAACAGTAAAAACTATTACCTGCAAAAAATTACTGTAAAACATTGTAGAGAATTACCTTCCGGCTATGTGTATAAGTTGTATAAGAAACATAAGTGAATTTCATGTTTAGGTTCAGGTACCATCCCCAAGATATTTCATTAGGTATATGCAAATATTCCAAAGTCTGAAAAAAATCTGCTTCTGGTCCCAAGCATTTTGGACAAGGGATATTCAGCCTGTCCTACTGGAAAAATAAAATTCCTTTTCAGTATGACAGAAATTAAGAGATTGGCTTACCAAAGTTGAATTCTGCATGATTTTCTGAAGCTGCTCAATTTGGTCGTCTTGGTTTTTAATTATATTTCTTATCATGGAATTTTCTATTTCAAGCCTAAAATGTGCATTTTAAAATAATTACTGTCACACACAAATTTTTTAACATCATGTAAATTCTAAACAAACTTCTGAAGGTATAATTACACAAATTCTTAGAGATCTTAAAAGTAAATGTTTGGGCAACTGTGTCATTTTTCTACCTAGGAATAATGTAGAAAAATGATGTATTTTAATATAGTTTACAAATGAAACTTTTCCTTGGCTTCACAAAGGCATACTTATTATCATAACTGATAACAATTCTCATACTACAATGCTCTTTTGCTTTATAAATACTCAAGTTATTTTGTGTTCAAACTGTACTTTTGTATGTGGCCTTGCATCTTCTCAGCACGTCTTAAAGTCGCTGTAAGTTGATCTTGTATTTCCTGAAACTAAAACAAAGAATTAAAAACAAACCATTTATATTTGGAAATGACCTAAATGTTCATCAGTAGAAGAATAAATCAACAAAATATAATATATATAAAATATTGTTTTAGACTATCACAGTCTTTTTTATTTAAAAAAGTTCATAATTCAGGAAAAATCATCCCATTACCTGTTTTTTTGTAACTAATTTTACTGGAACACTGCTATACCCCTTCAATCCACAATTGTTTATGTATTCAAGCCATATTGTTTATGGCAACTTTCATGCTATAACTGTAGGGTTGAGTTATTTAAGAGGGATCTTATGGCTTACAAAGCCTTAAATAATACTATCTGGCCCTGTACAGAGAAGTTTACTGATCCATGCTCTAGGACTAAAACACAATATTCTTCTTGCTTTTGAATGATATTTTATCAGATAAATACTCAAACTTACAAATTGGTAAAATGTGGAAAGATAAAGGATTACCTCATGGTAAGCATTTATATTTTTGAATTCCAAACACTACCACATCAACTATAATTTTAGTTTTTTGTATGTATGCATTTAGTTTTATTGTAGCAAAGCAACTTGCACATTTTTAATATTTGAAACTAAGCATCATCTTTCCTTTGTAGGAAAAGTTCAAGAAATTTTAAAAATAAGCAGGAACAAAATTAAAACAAAGTCCATTCTAAGTAAGATCTTACAGGATCGTACTGACTCTCCCATTGAGTAACAGGACTCAAGCATCATTAAAATAGAAGTCATTAAAAAGCATCATCTTAAACTGCAAGGTGTCCATTAAACATGCTAAAGGAGAAGCCCTGTTGTCTAAATGCCCACTTAACTCACCCAAACATCTCAAACCCACCCTTTGCTGATCTTCAATAACCCCCTTTTTAGTTTAGTTTTTTTTTTAATAAACAAGAGAAAATAGATACAGGTTGGCAAATGCTAACTGTCCATGTTCATATAGAGACAGAGTGTACTCTCTGAGCCCAATACAAAGAGAGTAAGGATTTTCATCAAAATAAAAATTTATTCAGTAGAATGGCCTTTCTGTACAAAATTAACCTGAAATCTATGAAATAAGTATACACAGGTTCTTTATTCATTCAGAAAAGTAGAGATTAAAAATAAGATAATTTTCTGAAATATTTCATTAGACATTATCCTCTGAATTAATCTGGCTTTTCTCATCATGGCAACAGAGACACCACTAAAAACAGACTGTTTAACAGGAAAACAAACAAACAAACAAAAAAAAAAAACCTCTCTGAACTTATGTGAGAAAGGATGCATAATTTTCAACTTTCCAAGGTTAAATATTTAAGGAAAAATTATATGTATAAAAATGGCAGAATGAAAGCCAGAGATTAAGAAATAGGTGTATTATAAAGATAAAATTTTAATAAAATTAATAATAATGAAAATACAAAAGAAAGGCATCCACTATAAAATTTTAATAAAATTACTTAAAATTACTTAGAATGAAAATACAAAAGAAAGCCAGCCACTAAAATTAGTACCCCAAAAGCTTTATATTAGTTAACCACCTACAGATTAACTGTTGTTGGCATGTGAAGCTTCATACATACTTGACTTCTCATCTGGCCTGCTTTCTTCTTTGAATCCTCCAGCTCACTTTCTAAATGGATGGAGCGACGCAATGACGCATCCACCAAAGTTTTTGATGTTGATTCTTTGTGTAGGGCATCATCCCGTTTTTGTTGAAGTTGTCTTATAAGTACCTGATAAGATGTTATTTTTGTTACTGGTTTTACAAATCACCTTATTATTGAACCATTAATAATATTTAACTCTAAAGTATACACTTTGAAAAATATCACCACACAGACCAATTCACCTTCTTTTCCTCGTATGTACACATTCCTGTTTATTACTGAATCCCATAAGGATACAGAAGGTGTTATCTTCCTATCAAACTAGTATTGTTACTCACACAACATATTCAGCTCACTAGTCATTCCTCCCCTGATGAATTTGTAATGCTTAAAACCTTCTGAAGTATCAAAAAGAAATGAGTATGTAGGTGGGACTGATGGTAGTAAATTACACATTGTGGAATGATTTCCCTCTTTTTTTTTTTATTAGAAACTCAGATCAACCTCAGACTTCCTCACGTTAAATCATCTGCTTAAATCCTTAAATCTAGTAAAGTTAGATTTCTATTGCAGAACAAAAGTAAAATTCCAATGGCTTTAGATGGCAACCTGCCCTCCACCTCCCAACCTGACCTCAGCTGCTATGTCTGACTACTCCATTCCTACTCTACATGAATCCTGCCACTCCTCATTAGTCTGAAATTCTCCTTAGTCTGAAAATTGGGGTCCAATGTCAAACTAATAGATCACAGATAGCTATGCCTCTCTTTGTTCTAGACAAAGTTATAACCAAATGATAGTAATTAAGCCTTGACATAAAAATTATAAGCAAATTTTTCATAAAAATAACAAAGTAAATTATAAATGCAAGTAGGAAGATTAAATTAAATACAGTTTGACTAAAATTTACCACATTTTCCTCATACTATAAGTAAAGTTAGATGCCTTTAAAAAGTGGAATGATCATATCTATATATAATTTGAGATTGAAATAGTTTCAGATTTAAGACAAATAGTTTCAGATTTAAGTCAAATTGACATGAAGAAAAACAAAACTGTACCAACTAAGATATATTTAAAGCTACTGAAGAAAAATAATTATGACACAGGGAGTACACTTCAGTTCATCTGGAAAATCTGATTTTAACTGTCAAAGTACCCCACTTAATTGAATCAATTTCAAAACACCATTTTAGGTATATGCATTTCCATATATCTCATTTATCATGGCCTTAAAGTGTGGCAACATAAACACATTAAAATTATTATTTCAGCAGCATAAGACTACATTAATATTAGTCTATAATAACTTAAAATTTCATAAGTGACAAATTGACTTTAATCAGAGGAAAGTATCTCTCAGTTCTAACTTTGATTTGCTGGAAACAAGCAATGTTTCTAAGCTGATATAGCAGATATATTTATCATATGTATCCTTTTTTATATTCAACTAGATTCAACATTTAGCTCTAACCAAATATTACTTTAACTTTTACTTCAGGAAGTTTGAAAAATACTTATTTTTCTTGATACTCACTTCTCTTTCTGCTTTGTCTCTTTCATACTGACATTGTTTTTCTTTCAAATGATTAACTTCATTGATCAACCTCTTATTCTCTTCTTCTAGCAAAATAGAGCGCTTTCTGCACTCAGCTTGAACATTTTGTACTCTAGCATCACATTTGGCTTGAATATTAATTAATGTTTTTTCTTGATTGTCAGCTTTGTTGTGAGCATCATTCAGTTGCTGTTGAAGCAGCATACTTTGTCTATGTAGCTGACATAATCTTTCCTGCTTTTCTATGCATTTTTCTACTTTATCTTGGCCATTTTTGTACATTTTTTCAATGTCCTTCATTTGACACTGTGTTTGGTTTAGGTCTCTTTGCATGCATTCAAAAACCAAAGTCTTTTCTTTCAGAGCCTCTCTTGTGTAACAGAGCTCAGTTTCGAGGCCACTGGACTTACTCTCAGCTTTAGCAAGTTGCTGAGAAAGAATCAGAACATGAGAATTCAAATTTTCCTGTAAATGACACCATTTATCTACTGTGCCCTGGAAAGCAAGCTCTTGGTCTCTTTCTGATGACTGATTTTGATCATGATCACGTAGAACAGCATTCAGTCTACAACGGTATGATTCAATTTCTGTTTCCAGTCTTTGGTTGCTTTCCTTTTCCTTCTCCAGTTTGGAACGGAGCATTGTGTTCTCATCTGTCAGAGCAGTAAGCCGTCCACTAGAACGGGCTATCATTTTTGTTAATGTTTCCCCATTCCATTTTAGAGTCTTTTGAAGGTCTTCATTCCTCCCTTTTATAATTTCAATGTCTTTTAAGTATTTCTTTTCCAGGTTTTGATTTTTAATTGTGTCTACTTCCAGCCTAAGCCTGGCAATTTCATCTTGCATCAAGTGGTTTTTATGCAACAGGTCTTCTTCTTTTCCATGACTATCAGAAATCTAAGCAAAACAAAGAAAACTTAACTAGTACCCAATAGGATAACATATTACGATTGCTTCTGAAATTAAATAATAACCTGTACATTTATACAATGAGAGGGTTGCCATAACTGGATATCTAACTGGAAAAAAAAAGTTGAGTCAAAACCTCAAACCTCATAGAGGTTTGAATTCCACAAAGTTTAAAAATTTGAAGACAGTGAATCCATGAAGGCTTTTAAGAAACCACTAAATAATTTTTTTAAATCTCAGAATTTAAAAAAGGCTTTTACTGAATTACAACAAACCACGAGGCATAAAGGAGTAATAACTGCGACTGTATTATAAAACTGAGTTTGCATTCTAACACCTAATCTATGCTTCCCCCTAGAGTAAGAGCGTTAGCTTGGCAGATATTTGGACAGATGAATGAAATTTTCCAAATTCTTTAAGTTCCTTTTTCCTAAAATACTGTATAGATATTCTACTTTTCTAATATTGTTGTGGTCAGTTTTAAGAATGACATTTACTGATAAATGATATATCTAGGCATTGTGCTAAGCACTTCTACATGCACAAATCAATGAACTCATTTAGTTATAATGCTACAGTGAAAGTTTAAAAATATAAGCAAGCTGCAGGATTTTTCCCAGGTTTTCTGATTCTACTTCAAGTGCTCTTCCACCAAATCAGTTACTTCTGTTAGGTAGATACACACATACAAAAATAGTCTTTTATTTCCAAACACCAAAAGTCAAGAAAATTAAATTTATTGAGCTCCTCTTAGAAAATCATGACATTATTTGCTATTATGATAACTTTTATTTCCTTTCCATAACATTTGAAACAGTAGTTAACATGAAATAGGGAAAAACGTGCTGAACTATATCACTAGTAACAACATTCTTACAATACCATTAAGTATATATTATTGAATATCATTGTTTTCAAAAGGTCTTTGAACTAAAATAAAATATTGATGTCAAGATTTATTATAAATAATTGTAGCTATAAATGCCATGATTCATTTTTTAAGATAAAATAAAATTTTTGGTTTTCGGCCTAAATAATATATACTAAATTAAAGAGATATTATAACTAATATTAATAAAAGTAGAAACATGAAGTTTCACCAAACATTAATTTACCTGATTTGAATCATTTTCCACAGTCTCCAATTCCACCTCCAGTGATTTGATGGCCAGTTTAAGTTGTTTTATCTCTTTGGCGTCTATCGCATGTTGCTCTTCCATTATTATCTTTTCCCTAACTTTTTCATGCAACTTTTCAGAATTTCTTCCTTTCTCTTTTTCTTGTAGTATGGCATATCTGTAAATATACTTATCTTAGAATTTATTTTATCAGTGAAGATTAAGCTCTCTGATTTTTTATCTTGCCCAATTTCTACCTAAGGGGTCCAGGGAGTCATGCTCTACAAACCATGGATTCTCATCAGATTGGCTTTATTTCACCCTGTACATTGTGACTTGCTTTTCAATCTAACTCTGGCATAACATTATGAGACAAGGCAGAAAATATTTAATCAAAATATACTTCTTTGCCATGCCTTGAAATTGCCCTGCAAAGTCTCTTGTGGGAAAAAGTCACATTCTATAGGGAATCCCCTTATCTCTTTGTTTTCTTTCCTTTCTTTGCAGAGTCAGGAGATAATCAACAAAGAGCCAGGCACCCTTTTGGGTCCCATAAGAAACATTTTACAACCTGCTTTCTCTCTCTCTGAAATCTGCTGAGAGATTCCTCTGCAAAATAAAACTTTGTCCCCACAATGATTTATCTCAACCTGAACATTCCTTTCCATTAATCCCAGGTCTTCAAATAAACTCAACCAATTGTCAATTGTCAACCAGCAAATGTTTAAATTTACCTATAGCCTGGAAGTCCCTGCTTTGAGTTGTCCCACCATTCTGAACCAAACCAATGTATAAAATGTATAAAACTAAGCTGCACCCCGACCACATTGGGCACATGTTCTTGGGACCCACTGAGGGCTGTGTCACGGGCCATGGTCACTCATATTTGGCTCAGAATAAATCTCTTCAAATATTTTACAGAGTTTGACTCTTTTTGTTGATATCAGAAAACAAAACATTCATATGTTGGTTTATTATCCTAATAAAGTTTCTATGTTCTTAAATATTTTTCTTTCTAGTTTTCATGTTTTTAATTTCTCACCTCAATCTCATCCAAAGGACATGTATAAATTGAAGTGTATTGATAAAAGAACATCCTGCAAATCTGTAAGTTTCTGTTACTAGTAACTTTATCAAATATTATTAAAAAGGATGTTGAAAATTATTCAGTAAAGTTGCAAGATAAAAATTACCTTTTTTTTCACACAGTAATTACTCCTCAATTAGAATGGATTATTTAGAGTTAACTAAAATGAAGTTACTTTTTATAAATAAGTCGATACATTCACTAGAAATAAATTTTCATCTTCATGAAACATTGCAGGTTTCCCTTAGCATAATTTACATTGTACGATAGCACTTTCAGATGTCTTTATGAAATATATATCAGCAGATTGCTGTAATCCAAGACTAGATTAAGAATCTAGTATGTTACCCTACACTTTTTAAGATTGTTTTTTGGGTAACACTTTCAACCTATCCTGTTGATTAGTATATATTTTATAAACAATTTTAAAATCTGTTTTAAAACAACACAAGATCTAATATTTAATTAAACAACAAAGAATAATATGTGTCTTCAGCATAGAACTTTGAATTAATTTTATCTATGTAGCAGAGAGAGATGATGAATAAGCTAATCAGTAATCACTTTCCATTTTACTTTTTATTCCTTGCATATTAAGAATAAAATGATAATTTTTGTTTGTTTATTTTTCGAGAGGGAGTCTGCAATGGCATGATCTCGGCTCACTGCAACCTCCACCTCCTGGATTCATGCAATTTTCCTGCCTCAGTCTCCCGAGTAGCTCGGATTACAGACGAACACCACCACACCCAGCTAATTTTTTGTATTTTTAGTAGGGATGGGGTTTCACTATGTTGGCCAGACTGATCTTGAACTCCTGACCTTGTGATACACCTGCCTCAGCTTCCCAAAGTGTTGGGATTACAGGCATGAACTGCCACACCTGGCCAATAATTTTTTAAATAATTATTCTGGAAAGAGAAAAATATCTATTTCATACTCTGTTGATTGAATTATAAATTAATATAAACATTCTTAAGAACAATTTAGAAACACTGATCAAAGATCTTTTTTTAAAAGTTTCTATGCTTTAACCAGAATGATTTACCCAAAGTAAATAATTAGAAATGTAGAAAACTATGCATATGTAAAAAATGTTCTTTACAGCATTAATACAAAAACTTTTTAAAACCTAAAATTCAATTTGTCAATTAAATAATGGGATTTCCATAGGGTAAAATTCTATACACTCATTAAAACTACGATTTAAAAGAATATGCATTTAGTTATTAGGGAAGTATTCACAATTAAGAACTTGTGATATTATATTGAAGAATTTTGCACTCCACAAGATTAAGGAGCTTTCTTCCCTGTTAAATCCTAGAAAGAAAATCCGCGGTTACAAAAATTATCCTTATACAACCTTAATAATAAACAAATAATTCAAACATTTCTTAAAAACTAGAATGTCATACCTCAAACTGCAGAGTGCTTTTTCCCATTCAGGTTTTTCATGCTCTAACTGTGATATTATTTCTTTTTCTTCAGATAGTCTCTTTTGTAGTATACTAATCTTATTTTTCATTTTTTGAATTTTTCCTGTAAGTCGCTCACAGTGATTTTCTATTGATCTTTCATGTAAATAAATTGCATTTTTAATTTTTAATAGGTGAGCACAATCTGTAAACAGGAAAAAACAAAGTAGAGATAAAATACATGAGTAGATTTTTTGATATAAAGGACTGTGCATTTTAACAAGCATTGATTCATATACTGAACAAATATTTACATGTTGAATGCCTACAAGGTGGAAGACATTATAGTAAGCTCTGCAGATAAGACAACATCTCTGCTCTTGTTTTAGTTTAAAGTATAGTGAAGAACCAAGATAAAAGGTGACAATTATAAACTCAGATAGGTACTGTGAAAAAAAAAAGACATAGTTATATGATTGCATAAGATAATTTGATCTATACTTCACCCAGGGAAGATTTCCCTGAGGTAGACATGGCTACACTGAGAAATGAAGGATGAGAAGAAAATAGGCAAAGAGGAAAGCAAAGCATTCTGGCCAGTTTGCAGCATGTGATGAAGCTCTGCTGCAATCTGCTACTAGCCCTGATGGAGAACAGGTACTGATCTTTCTTCTTAACTGAAAAAAATATAAAAACAAAACAGATAAAATACATTAAACAATGATTTTCAACACAGTGGACTTTAGGCAATGAAGATGGTAGGTGATCACTGAAAGGCAGAAAACAAATACAGCAGGCCTTACAAATGTCCCAGCTCTTTTAACAGAGTTTTGACAGAGGTTCCAGGCCATGACAATGGGAGAAAATCTGACACAGAGCTGGGGTGATGAAGCTGAGAGGCTAGTAAAACTAAGGCAGATAGAGATGACAGGACAGAACACTGGAGAGAAGAAAACAGTACAGGAAACAAATCCTTAAGATGTGCAGAGATTCCCATTTGAGTATTCAGTAGAGTAATGAAAAGTCCTTTTGTGCTAGCAAACTTCCTCAGAACAATGGGAAAAAAAAAAAAAAAAAAAAAAAAAAAGGGTGAAAAAAAACAAAAAAAAAAAAAAAAAAAAAAAAACGCTTAAAGAAGGTTATCTGAAACTATGCCTGGGGTTCACACCATGCCTGGAAGAGGGTCCATTCCCATGAGCCAGGCCAAAAAAACCTCATACTTCATAGGACAATGAATAATCAGAAAGGTGAGTGAGGAATTACCCCAAATCTAAAAGCAAAAACAGAAAGGTTATCTTTATAAGTAAATTGCTGTACTCCAAATAAAACTCAAGACAATAAGTGAAGGCATGGAAGCTATTAAAAAAACAACCATCATATTTGTAGAGACGCAAATTACATTTTCAGAGGTAAAAACTACAGTGGATGGAAATAAAGACAAATTAGGGATAACAAAGGAAAAGATTCCTAAATTTGACATGATAAACTGTGAGAAACTTTCAAGCAGCTAATATAGATAACTCCCCAAATAAAAAAGAAGGGACAGAAAAAAAAATAAAGAAAAAATGGACAAAAATGTTTTAACTTTAATACAAACCATAATCCCACAGATTCAGGAAAGAAGTATCCGGGACAGAAAAAAATGAAAGTGTATCATTGTCATCTTTTATACCATCTATGATGTATAATATTATTTGAAGGTGGACTGTGATAAGTTAAAATTATATACTAAAAATCCTAAAGTAAACATTAAGATAGCAAAACAGTTATCTCTAATAAACCCAAAAATATATAAAATTGAATCATAAAATATAGCTGACTCATCTAAAAGAAAGGAGAAAAAGAAGGGGAACAAATAACAGCTGGGACTAATAGCAATCAAACAGCATCATGACAGAAAAACACAACTATATCAATAATCACGTTATAAATGACACTTGTCTAAAAACCTCAACTCAAATGCAGACTGTCAGACTCAGTAAGAAAGCAAGACCCAACTACATGCTGCCTATAAGAAATGCACTTTAAATGTAAAGACACAAATTAGTTAGAAGGTTGGAAAAAGATACATGTTAACACTTGTCAGAGGCAGCTGAGCGGGAGTGGCTGTATTAATACCAAAGTAGATTTCATAGCAAAGAAAAAAAAAATCCAGCAATAAATAACAAAAGGTCATGTCGCAATAGTTAAAGGATCAGTTAATGAGGAAAACATAACAATCCTAAGTGTTTATACCCCTAAAAACAAGCCAGCTTCAAAATATATGAGGCCAAAGTGGATAGAACTACAAAAAGAAATAGACAATTTCTAAGTAATCTGAGGTTTCAATACCCTTTACTCAATAAGTGATAGAACAAGAAGGCAGAAAATCAGCAAGAATAAACAGACTTGAACAACACTATGCTTTTCAAGTACCCATGGAACACTTGCCAAAATAGACTATATTTTAGGCCATACCATAACTCTCAATTAAAGGACTGAGTCAGAAGGATTGAAGTCATACAAAGTATATGCCCTGACCACAAATCAATCAGATTAAAGACTGATAAGAAAAGTAACTCTGAGAAACACTCAAATATTTGAAACTAAGTAACACACATCTAAATAATCCTGGGTCAAAGAGGTAATGAAAATAGAAATTAGAAAATATTCTGAACTGAATAAAAATGAAAATAAAATGTGTCAGAATTTGTGGAATGCAGCTACAACTGTACTTGAATACAAATTTTAGCACTGCTGAATGTCTATATTAGAAGAATCTCAAATCAATGACCCTGACTTCTACCTTAAGCAACTAGATAAAAGAAGAGTGAATTAAACCCAAAGCAAGCAGATGAAATAATAAACATCTGCTGTGGTCTGAATGTTGTGTTCCCCAAAATTTATATCCTGAAAGCCAATCACAGATGCGATGCTATTAGGATGTGGGATTTTTATAGGTAGTTAGGTCATGAGAGCCAATCCCTCATGAATGGGATTAGTGCTCTTATACAACAGACCCCAGAGCTCCTTCACCCCTTCTGCCAAGTGAAGACACAGAGAAAAAGAATGCATTTGTGAACCAGGATGTGGTCCCTAAGCATACACCAAATCCAATGCATCTTGATCTTGGACTTTGCAGACTCCACAACTGCGAGAAATCAACTTCCATTGTTTGACTCAATCTATGGTATTTTGTTATACTGTTGGCTTCAGAAGAAACAATAGAGAAAGTCAACAACACAAAACACCTTGAGGAGATCAATAAATGTGATAAAACTCCATTTAGCCAGGCTGCTCAGAAAAAATAAATAAAACAAATTACTAATTTTAGAAATAATGGGACATTATTACAGATTCTATGATTCTATAGATAGTAAAAATATAACAATATTATAATTTCTATGTAAATAAACAGGACAACTTAGATAAAAATTAATAAATTCCTTTAAAAATGAAAATTAGCAAATCTCAATCAAGAAGCAGTAGATAACCTGAATTTCCCATATCTATAAAAGAAAATTAAGTTATAACTGAAAACCTTCCTAAAAGAAAACTTCAGACCTAATTAACTATGTTGGTGAATTCTCAAAACATTTCTGGAAGAAAATAATACAACTGTACAAAAACTACCCCCACCGAAAAACATACAAACAAACAAACAAAAAAGTATATCTCAACTCAGTCTGTAATGTTAGCTTTACTCTGAACCAAAACGAGAAAATGGTATTATCAACGAGCAAATTCCCTCATGAACATGAATGTAAAACTTCAACCAATTTGTGATGCAAATAAGACATCCTCCAATAGCTGAGTGAATAAACTGTAGTTAAACAGCCATACAGTGGAATATCACTTTATGCAAAAAAGAAATGAGCAATCAATCTACGAAAATATGTGAAGGAACCTTAAATGCATATTACCTATTGACATAAGCTAATCTGGAAAGGCTACTTAATGTATTCCAACTGTGTGATACTCAGGAAAAGGCAAAACTATGAATAAAGTAGAAAGGTGCCAAAGGGTGAGGGATGGCAGGAAAGGATACATAGGCAGAGTGCAGAGGATGTACAATCCTTTGTCCAAACCCACATATGTACAGTACCAAGCATGAACCCCAATACAAATTACGGGCTTTGAGTAATTGTGATATGTCAATTTAGGCTCATCTATCGTAGCAACTACCACTATGGTGAAGGATACTGGTAATGAGGGAGGCTATATATGTGTTGGGATGGGGGTATACAAAAAATTGTCTGAACTTCCCTCTCAATTTTGCTAGGAACATAAAAATGGTCTAAAAAATAAAAATCTTTATAATAAATTCTAAATGAGACTTTAGTAAGTTGAATCCAACAGTATAATAAAAAGATAATACATCATAAACAAATGAGGTTTATTCTAGAAATGCAGGGTTGGCCTAACATCAAAACATCATAATTATTTACCATATAACAAAGTAAAAGACTCATAGGATCACTCCAACAGATAGAGGCACCTGATAAAATTCACTGCTGATGTTTTAAAGCAGAAAAACTCTCAAGAACACAAGAATCCAAGGGAACTTCTTCAGCATGACAAGCAACACCTATGATGAATCTACAGCTAACATGCAGCATAGTGAAAAATGGAATGCATTTCCTGTCAGATGAGGAACAACAAGGGAATGTCTGCTGTCACTACTTGTAGGTAGCATTGTTCTGAAGATTCTAGTTAATGCAGTCAGAAAAGATAAAGAAATAAGAGGCATCCAGGCTTGAAAAAAAAGACAGAAAATTGTCTTTGTACACAACCATGGCCATACAATAGGTATGGGTAAACCCCAACCTGTGGGGAGCTTCTTGTCTGGGTCAATAAACTTTTATTGGAACCCAGCTGTATTCATTAACTTATAGATGGTCTATGGCTGCTCTCATACAACAATGGCAGAGTTTATGAGCTGCAAAAGAGACCCCTTTGACACAAGTCTAAAATATTTACCATCCTTAGTAAGAGGGCAGTTTGAGAAAGAAAGGTTTGACAACCTTTTGTCTATGTAGAAAACCTGATCAAATCTACCAAGAATGTGCCACAACTAATAAGTGAGTTTAACAAGATTGAAGGATACAAATTCAACATAGAAAAATCAACTGTATTTCTATATGCTAGCAATAAACTATCAAATTAAAATTTTAAAACATTTTTAGAGTTTTATAAAAATGTATGTTTAGATTAGTGTTGTTCAACCTGTATAAAGTCAAATACATCTACACTAACTAAACTATAATTTACAACTTCATCACAAATGAAATACAGATAAATCTGATAAAATATGGAAAGACCTATAAAAACTAAAAAATATTACTGAGAAAATTAAATATTACCTCTATAAAAGCAGACACACACTTTATTGAGTAGATTCACTATTGTTAGGATGTCCATTCTCCCCAAATTAATCTATAAATATGACACAATCCCAACCTAATTTCCAACAAGCAAGTAGTCTTTATTTTATTGATAAGCTTATTCTAAAGTTCATGTAAAATGCAAAGGATCTAGCATTGTCAAAACAGAACAAAATTAGAGGAATCATTTCAGGAATTACTATAAATCAACAGTAACCAAAACAGTATGCCACAGGTACAGGTTGAGTATCCCTTATTCAACATGTTTTGGACTAGAAGTTTTTCAGATTTTGGATTTTGGATTTTGCATAAGCACGGTGAGATATCTTGTGGGTAGGACCCAAATCTAAACACAAAATACACTTATTTTTCATATATACCTTATACACAAAGACTGAAGGTAATTTTAAACATGACTTTTAATGATTTGGGGCATTAAACATTTGTATACATGAGGTCAGATGTGGAATTTTTCCACTGTGGCATCCATGTTGGCAATTAAAATGTTTTGGGTTTTAGAGTATTTCAGATTTGGGGTATTTAAATTAGTGATGCTCAACTTGTATAAAGAAAGTCAAATATAGACAATCCCCTACTTAAGGTGGTTTGACTATTGACTTTACAATGTGTTTACCACAATTTGAGGAGCAACTGGAAATTAATAAAACTCAATAGAGAGTCCAGAAATAGATAACACATATGCAACCAGCTTATGTTTGACAAAGGCAGGATGACAATGCAGTGGAGAAAGGGTAGGATTTTCAACATATGGTGCTAGAACAATTGGATGTTCATATCCAAAAAGTGAACTTGAATCCATACCTTACTCCATCTGCAAAAGGAAACTGAAAATGGCGCATAGATTTACATATAAGACCTAAGTCTATAAAATTTCTAGAATAAAGCATAGGAAAAAATCTTTGTTACCTTGCGCTAGGCAAACATTTTTTATGTATGACACAAACTGCAAAATCTGTAATTCAACAATTAAATCTGACTTCATCATGATTAAAACTTCTGCTCTTCAAAAGATACTACAAAGTGAGTGAAAGGTGAACCCCAAAACTGGAAAAATATCCTTATAAAAAAGTAGCTAAAAAGTAACAGTATCCAAATACATACAGAATTACTAAAATTCAACAAGTAAGAAAACATCAACCTCATTTTTTAAATGGCAAAATATTTGAAAAGACAGTTCACCGAAGAAGATGTACAGATGGCAAATAAACACATGGAAAAATGTTCAACATTTTTAGTCATGAGGATTATGTACATTAAACCCATAATAATATACATAGTACACACTCATCAGAATGGCTAAAATTAAAAAAATAAATACAACAGCAGTGTGACAACATGGCAAGCAAAATTGTCATTTGCTGCTGAAGAGAAGCGAAAACAGTACAAATATTTTGGAAAACCATTTTGCAGTTTTTAAAAACAGGAATATAAAGGGGCATGAGGAGACTTTAGTGGTTGATGGATATATGTTAACTATCTTGATGGTAATAAGTTTCACAGTGTATACATCTGTTAAAACTTATCAAATGATACCTTTTACATGTGTGCACTTTATCACATATCAATTATCTCACACTAAAGCTACTGATTATAGGAGCAAACACCTAAGGCACTGGCTGTGACAGCGAGAAGGGAATGCAATAATGCAGTGTAAAGCTAGAGGATTGAGATCTGTACCTTACTGCAATAAGTGGCAGCTGAGTTTTCTGCAAGCAGGTAACACGATCAGTATTGATTTTTTACAACTATATAATTATGGTTGCAGAACAGGCCATGGTTTTGGAAGGTGGAATAGTAGGAAGGACAGTTATAAGGTTACCACAGTATTTCAGGTGGGAGGAAATGGTAACCTGACCATGGGTAAATGGGTAAAGGCACACAAGAGAATCAGAGTAAACAAGCACATTGGGAGTGCCATTCACACTGATAAAGGTACAGTGAAATGATCACAGCTCTTTGGCTGAGAGTGTACAAGATACAGTAGTTCTCATTTTTAAGGCATATTTCTGAGATGAACATTCTTATAACATATCAGCACTCTATGCTACAGTGGTAAGCAGTGTGTGCATACATTGCTATAGAATAGAAAAACGACTTATATATATGCATTATCCTACCTTTACACTGCATTCCATGTTGATCAATGAGTAATATAACTTTCTTAGAGGAAAGTGAGTCATCACCCTCTGAGGCTATTTGAGATGGCTGAATTACGTCATCAAGATCATCCCTAAAATGTATTTGGTTTTTCATCTGCAAAATAAAAAACACTGTTTCAAAATGTCCCCAAAATAGTTATAGCATATACTAAATGTACAGAAGTGGGAATTATTCAAATAGTACAAACACAGGTACTAGTTCTGTACTTTCTTTTTTTTTTTTTTTTAGCAATTTCCTTTTTGTTGACACTTGTTCAGAAAGTCACATGGTATATGGATAAATTAGTTTCCCAGTCCCTCTGCCATTTAGAAAACTGACAGAGAGACTTGAGTTAATTAAGGAGCAAGGGTTAGGATAATGTCTTCCTGAGCTTGTATCATTTCAACTGCAGAAACAATCTATTTCTACATACAGTAAGTATTTAGATAACCTCATTTTACACAGAGATTTTCATAAATAAAAAATTCAAATGGATCAAATAATTGGTGAAGAGAAAAAAGAGCAGCATCAAGTGACCTCTAAGTCTTTTTGAAGTTGAACTTTCTCCAAAGCCAGGAACTCTACTTGTAATATGCTTACCTCATTCTTAAATCTTTCCGTGTATCACTTAATTCCACTTCTAGACATACTGTTGATGTTTTGTCACCATGTGGTGGAGAATAATGCACATTTTCTAATTAAAGTTTTATGCTTTTATACTTTTTTTGTAGCACAGTTGTCATATAATGGTTTCTGGAACAAATTCTATATTGGTTTTGTATCGTGTTTGTAACAACAAAAACACTATGATCTTTTTTTTTTTTTTTTTTAAATTATCACATGCTTCATTTCTTTGAAGCAGGTAAGCCACATATCTAAAAGGCTTTTTGAATCACTAAACTGAGGCATATGTCTGACGTTTAATTTCCAATTAGTGGTATTTTTGTTCTTATTTTTTTGTCATTTGCCTAACAACCTATGAGTCTTCTTTTATTTCAACCATAACTACTTCTTGGTATCTTGCTTTTGCACTTTTCGTATCATTATAGCAATTTTCCTGGTCTGGGTTAAAAACATGTTCAGTATCTGGTTTGTGGTCATTTTCACAGTCTACTTTAATTTCTATTTAAATAAAGCTTAGAAGGTGACTGGCAAGAGTATTCTGGGGACCCAGAGTATGAATGAGATAGAAAGGCATTTTTGAGACTGGGTTATTTTTGTTCAGGAAATATCTGGACTACTACAGAGACAGACATGCCAGACATCACTTTTCTGACAATCAGGTGAATCATTTGTTCAAATCTGAGGGTATTTACTTAAGTTCGTTCTTCCTGTAGAGTTACCATGTAGTCTCTCTTCCTCAATACAAGCAGTTTTGTAATTTTTACCAAACTCTGCTTTAATTTACTTGTGATGAATTTTAAAACTTTTTTCACCCTAATTTTGTCTTGTTTGATCCACATTTTCTCATACTTCTGCATACAAGAAAGTCCTGCATATATAAAGTCCTTTCTATCACAACACTTTTTCACTACTAGTTGTTGAGACAATTTTTGCATATGCAAAAGTGGAAGAGTAATTTGCTAGTTTTGTTTCTCAGATGACTTTTCTGAGTGTGTGTTTTCAAAATAACTTTAAATAATCAAGTGTAAAAAGAGAAAAATTAAAAAATAATTAAAATTTAATATTAAACTTCTTAATCTATGTTTACCTACTCCCAAATTACTGGATTGTAACTAAGAAGTGAAACATAATTTGAAATAGCCTAAAATAGGTGAAAAACATAAACCATGAAACTTTAATTTGTCACTGTTTGTTTGGACTAAACTGACTAATTCATTATGTGTTAAATTTACCAAAAATGAATTAGGAGATGACCTGTGGTACTACAAAGGCACCACCACTTAAAAAGATTTTATCACTATACCTACAGTATACACTTGAGTGTTTTTCCAAACATTACTAAATGATTAGGCAAACTTTAAATTATTAGGAACCAAAATCAACACCCACTAAGAAAAGCAAATTCTTACATTTTAATGCTAATTATGTATTGTAATATGATTGACAGTGTTATATATTTATATAGATTATAGGCTTAAGTTCTAAGGTCCACTAATGACAGTGGATTTAATACATTTAATAATATTTACAGATTTTCTGTACTGAAATATATCAGGAAGTTATTGTTTGTACCCTAATGCCAAAGATGCCATTCTGCAAGATCTGATTCTCTTGATAGACAGCTGAGTTGACTTTATAATCCATTCTCTTCCTGAACATAGTAGCTAAAGTCGGAGATCACAAGGGAAAATAAATTCTTAATTTTGGTATGACTGGCAATAAAAAAAAAAACTGTAAAGTTTGAACCACTAGCAAGAATTACTCCTTTAGAATCCAATAAAGTGGTCATCAGTGTTAAATTGTTCATAATTTCTATTGCCTCAAATTTCATTTCAATATTTGATGTACCTTCTTTATTATAATAGGAAGTTATAAAAATAGAAGTGCAAACAATATCAGGAATTTTTAATTCAATTCCAAGAGTAAAGATTAGATATAAGTTACTATAGATTCCAACACTATTTTGAGTTTTATAACTAGTTAAAATGTTTTTTAAATGGAATATTAAATTATAATCAACTGATACTAAAAGGCTAATCCAAAGGTAAATTCACTTGGAATATGCTGTATCACCAAAGCAAGGAAAACAAGATTAAACCAGATATTTGATTTTAAATTTTTACATACCCATGGCTGGTTATTTTCATATTCTTCAAACCTCTTTTGCTCTCCCTCTGATGCCATTTCTAAGTCTTGTTCTGCTAAAAAAATTATATATTTAGTTAAAATGAGCTACACAGAACATTTAGATAAAAGCCCTAGTCTTTCTAAAAATAGAAAATAAAATTTTTATTTTATAAATTCAGAGTTTAAATGAAGCTTAATCTTTAGTACAATATTTACTTCTTTAAGAAATGCTTTTAATTCTCCAAAACTTCAGCAAACTACTTGGGGAGGCACTAGATGCCAACAGGCTCGAGCCATACAAACATGGTCAAAGGTTCACTCAGAAATTCATCCACCCAACATCAATGAACGAAACCATCAGAAATAAAACAAAAGGTAAAAATCCAATAGAAACAGATAAAGTAACAGTACACTGTTCTTTACTTCATAATAATACCTTTATAACAACACACTGAACCTGCTGTTCATTATTAATGATTTCCAAAATGACTGCTACTGTTTATACTTTCATCAATGTGCAGTCTCTTCTTTATATCCTAAATATTTTCCTCAACTATTCTGATGAATTTCTTTCATCTTTCTTAAAAGATGAAAGACTCAGACAGCTATGTGAAGCATTCCTTGATTCTGGCTATCTTTCCTCAGATAAACAGTTTTATTTAATACAGGTTTTAAAACATATATAGTTAAGATTTCAAAAGTGAGATTATGTCTCAACTAACTATAATTAAAATAGAAGACTGTATCTATTCCAATGTAAACATGCTGACTGATAATGAGAAAAATGATCTTTAATAAGAATAGCAAATCATGATCCTGAGAGAATAAGTGTCAAAGCTGATGGGAGGATGCTATGGCCTGTCTTTAATGCAATCCATCAGGTTCAATTATACCATTACGCTACAAGCACTTATTATTTTCAACTATTTTTCCTATTATTTAGGAAGTACAAAGTTGTGAGGACACTTCCAATAAATATATAATTTATTTCTCATCAAAGAAACTGTTTAAAATTACTCAGCTTAGATAGACAGAATAATAATAGACCTATTCATTTTTTTTTTCAGTCTCAGGTGGGCTACTACTATATTGCTCATATCCTATAGTTTGGCCCTGTCAAAAAGTTTCTTGATCCACTCATGCAAGAAGATTTTTAAAAACATCAAAATAGTGTATAATAAGCTTCCAATGTGTAAATAATAGTCAAAAATGAAAAATTTAATTGTCAGACATTAACTTTTTATACTTCAAAATCAGTGCAATATTCACTGAATATATCAGCTTTGTTATTCAAATAATGAATGCTATAACTTTTTGTTTCTAAAATTAACTTGATTTGATATATCATGCTTATCTCTAAGGTACTTTCATGGAATTGAGATCTTATAAAAAATAGGTTTCTTAATAAAATCAAAGTTTATTAGTTCAAATACATTTAACTTGATTAATGTCAAAACTTCTCTATAACTTTCATGAATTATTCCCACCCCTTCTTTCCTCTTTATTTAACAGTAGTATCTTACATGTATAATTTCTATTTCCTAAATTTTTGTTCCTTCCCCTCTGGCTAGAATGATGCTCAGAAATAATAGCAAAATGATACTTTTGCTTTGACTCTGTTATGTTTTGAACTGCTGTCAGATGGCAAACAGGTATATGGAAAGGTTCTCAGCATCTCTAATCATTACAGAAATGCAAATCAAAGCTACAGTTAGGTATCTTCTCACCTCAGTTAAAATGGCTTTTATCCAAATGACAGGCATTAAGAAATCCTGGTGAGGATGTGGAGTAAGCGGAATCCTTGTACACCATAGATGGCATTGTGAATTAGTACAGCCACTATGGAGAACAGTATAGAGAGTCCTCAAAAAATTAAAAATACAACTACCCACTTGATCCAACAATCCCATTGCTAGGTAACTACTCAAAAGCAAGGAAATCAGTATTATAAAAGAGAAATTCTGCCCTGACGTGTTTATTGCAGCACTTCTCACAATAGCCATAATTTGGAATCACCCTAAGTGTACATCAACAGACAAATGGTTTTAAAAAATATGATACATATACTCCTCAGCCATATGAAAGAATGAGATCCTCTCATTTGGAATGACATGGATGGAACTGGAGGGCATTACGTCAAGTAAAATAATCCAGGCAAAGAAAGAAAAGCTTCACATGTTCTCACTCCTTTGTGGGTGTGAGAAATTTAAAAAATAGAACTCATGGAAATGGAGAATAAAATCAAAGTTACCACAGTATAGGAAGGGTGCGAGGGTGGTAGGAAATGAGGATACTTAATAAGTACAAACTATAGTTAGATACAATAAATAAAATGTAGCATTTTATAGTACAAAAATATGACTATAGTCAGCAATAACTTGTACATGTTAGCATTACTGAGGGAGTAAAAATTAAAAGACAGCACAAAGAAATTGTGAATGCTTGAGGTGATGGATAACCCATTAATCATGATGTGATTATTAGACATTGTATGCCCCTATCAAAATATCTCATTTACTCCATAAACATAAGCATATATAAAGTAACACACACACATACACAGACACACACTGTGCTAATCAAAACATCTGATTGGCTTAATATAATAAGGGTAACAAAACAGACCAGAACCTATAAAAGCTAAATATGTTACCAAGTAAAACATTTCATTAGATAAAAACCGTACTTCGAATTGACTTTTAAAGCAAAACAAATATTTTAGAGTATCAAAATTGATCTCTTTAAATTGCTAAAAACTATTGAAATTCCAAATCGAAAGCTTCAGAGTATCCAAATGTAAAAGTAGAAACATTGAATACACCCTTATTTTGTGCAGTGTGTGTGCGGCGGCTAACTCCTGTAATCCCAGCACTTTGGGAAGCCAAGGCAGATGGGTCGCCTGAGGTCAGGAGTTCAAGACCAGCCTGACCAATATGGAGAAACCCGATCTCTACTAAAAATACAAAATTAGCCAGGCATAGTTGTGCATGCCTCTAATCCCAGCTGCTCAGGAGGCTGAGGCAGGAGAATCCCTTGAACCCAGGAGGCGGAGGTTGCAAGATTAGGCCATTGCACTCCAGCTTGGAAAACAAGAGCGAAATTCCATTTCAAAACACAACACAAAACCTTGTATTTTAAAAATATATTTTCCTTATGTGTGTAAATCTCATTTTTAAAAACATAAAAAAGATAACAGCTACATTATTTATATGAAATCCTGAAATAAAACATAAAAAGAAAAATAATTGAGAATGAAAAGACTATGAGCATTACAAATAGATTAATGTACTTCTTTCCAGAGTTAAATTTGCATTGCAAAGTTTACCTGGCAAGGATGTGTGTACATCCTTCATTTCGGTGGCTATATTCAGAACAGAATCTTTATTTTCAATTGTAACCTGAATGGGTTTTAAAACAAAATGATTAGCACATGATGTATGTTGTATAGGGACATGATGTTAATAATTAAAAATATAAAATAAGGGTACCTTCAAGGTGGGAAGATTTTCAGGATATTCTAACAAGCAAAAAAATATATATAATCAATCATATGTGAATACAGTAAGGCCAATCATACATTCATGGAGTGTTAGCATCAAACTAAATACTCTTGCTTATGTTAGTTTATGATTTCATGTTTTTCTAGTTTGTTTCTTTGAGACAGTAACATAACAGAAATACACTGAAGAAAATAAGAATATAGGCTTCAAAAAACATATAGTTACAAGTTAAAAAGTGAGATTATGTACCATGTCTATCGATTAAAAAAAAGTATTGATATCAATGTGGATATGCTAATAAGAGAAATGTGATTTAAAGTCAGAGGAGCAACTCATACACCTGGGAATCAATGTCAAAGCAGGTGGTACATACTCCCGCACATCTTTCATGCAAGACATCAGAAGGATTTATACCATTGTACTACAAACATTCATCATGCTCTTTAACTTGCCCAATAACTGAGAAGACACACAATTACAATGACACTTCAGTTGAGTGTACACTTCACATCTCTTCAGTGGAAGTGTCCTGAATTGAGCAGTGTGGATATATGTTCGGTGAATCCTAGTAGATAATATTCCTTATGTATCATAACCATGTGGTGTAATAATGTGCCTAAATTTCTTGTATCCTCTAGTTTAGCCTTCTGAAAGTTTCTTCATCCACTCACAGCAAGAAGGTAAAATATATAAACCCCATTAAAAAGTACAATAAATTATACATACTTATGCAAAATGGAATTGCTATAGGCATTAGATATTAATAACCTTTTATATTTGGAAATCAGTACAATATTCACTGAAAGTAACCATTTTAGAATTCAGTTAATGCATTCAACATTACTTTTCTCTAAAATTAGTCTGGTTTGGAGTATCACTTTATAAAGAATTTTCATTAAATAGCTATTTTAATAAAAAAGCTAGCAAAAACCTAATGTATTCATATTAAATTTTAACTCATTTGAATAACTAATAAAAATGTATCTCTGATGTCTAATAGTAATAAACAGGAATAATGAGTCACTGTGGTTTATCCCAATTCTACGTTCCTTCCAGATTCCAGTAGTCACTGGAGAAGCCAGAAATCAAATCTTCTGGTATGCAAATATTCTAAATACATCTGAAGTGAGTTCACCCAGGTTTCCTCAGCAGAAGCCCCAAAATTACCTAAAAAACTTATTCCTTCTCCTCTTTCCTGCCTTGTAATCCCTCTTTCTTGATGAAAATAATTACTACATTGGTGGTCACATTGCTTCTCATTCTACAGTGTTTATGGATTATTATGACAACTTCTTCCCTCTGGTTTTAGCAGTACCATCAGACATCTATAATTTCTATTACTTCGTCTCTTTCTCCTTCCCCTCTCCATAGAAACATGCTATGAAATAAGAGCAAAATTATGCTTTCCCCTGATCCTCTTATGTCTTGAACTGCTTTCCAATGGTTCTTCTTCCCAATTTCAATGTACAGAAGTCTATAACCTGGCTATTCAGATCACGGCCAAGGACCAGCAGCATTAGCATCACCTGAGAATGTACTAGAAATGCAGAATCTCAGGCCTGCTGAATCAGAATGTGCATTTTCAAAGAGCCCCCTGCTGATTTATTCAGGGGCGGGAAGTTCTCTTCTATCTTGAGTGCACATGACATTAAATATGTATTGCTAAATTACCTGCTCCAGATTTTTCAACAACCGTTATTCCTGTGGCAATATTTGAAAGAGAAACTTTCTTTTTAATTATAGCCTGAATGGAATGAGAAACAAAATAATCAATACATGATATATACTTCATAGATTATATAATTAATAATTCAAAATATAAATGAAAGGGTAATTACCTTCCAGGCCGGTTGTTTCTGAGAAGACACTGAAAAGCAAAATGGATATATAATCAATCATATGTAACTATGATAAAACCAACCATACATTAATGCAGTGTTAGCATCAAGCTGTATCCTCCTGCCTGTACTGAAGCAGGAGACAAGGGCAGACAAACAAATTTTCCTCCTTTCCTTTGGTATAAGCAAACTTCCCTGAGTCCTTCCCCCTTCTGTGGAACTGTACCCTGCTCTGCAAGTTTTATGAGTTTATAGATTATTGTATACTTGTTTTCTATAGCTAATAACTGCAAGTTTCTGTTTTTCATCTGAGCAGCACAGTGAAGGTCATGAGATATGTCTGAGCAAGTCTGGATTGCAGCCATCTAGGCACCATAGCAAAGGATGCAAGATAAGTTTGTGTGAGGCTCTTCAGCAACCTAGATAATGGCCATCTAGGTCACAGAGAGAAAGTCATTTGTAAGCCTGAGTTATAGGCCTGTCATTGCTTAATAAACTGCCTTTGTTCTGCTCCTGTATTTTGTGTATAAAAGTCAAGCCCTGTCTTTGTTCAGAGCTCAGCCTTTGAATGCAAATCTGCTGAACTGGTACACACCTTAATGAAATCCTCCTGTTCCACCAATTGGTCTCTCTGGTCTCCTGATTCCCGTAAAAGTACTAGTGTAGAATTTGATGTTTTATTGTTTATGTCTTCGGAATAGGAACATGAGGAAATATACTGAAGAAAATAGGAATACAGGCTTCCACAAAATATACAGTTGTAAAATTACAAAGAGATATTATGCATCATATGTATATTACCAAAATAAAAAGTATCAATATCAGTGTGGATATGCTGAGTGATGAGGACCAATGTAATCGAAAATCAGACGAGCAACTTATACACCTGAGAATCAATGTCAAAGCAGGTGGTACATACTCCTGCATGTCTTTCATGAAAGACATCAGAAGGATTTATACCATTATACTACAAACATTCATCATGCTCTTTAACTTGCCTGATAACTGAAAAGATACACAATCACAATGACACTTCAATTGAATGTACACTTCATGACTCTTTATGAGTCCAATTGAGTGGAAATGTCCTCAATTGATCAGGCTGGATATATGTTTAGTGAATCCTAGCAGATAATATTCATTATTTTTCATACCCATGTGGTGTAATAATGTGCCTACATTTCTTGTGTCCTCTAGTTTAGCCTTTCTGAAAGTTTCTTCATCCACTCATGACAACAAGGTATAATATAAAAACCTCAAGAAAAAGTATCATTATCGATTTTGACATATTTCTACAAAATAAAACTCCTACAAAGATTAGTTATTAACAATCTTTTACATTAGAAAATCACTCCAATATTCATTGAAAAAAACATTTTAAGAGTCAATCGATAAATTCAACATTATTGTTGTTTCTAAAATAGTCTTGTTTAAAGTATCATGTTATTCTCTAGGGAATTTTCATTAAATAGCTATTTTATCCAAGAGTTAGCTCCTTGAACAATGAAGACAATATATTCATATTCAAATTTATCTAATTTGTATAACTAAAATCAACAAAACATGTATTTCTGATGCCTAATAGTAATATAGAAGAGTAATAAGTGAGGGTGGTTAATCCCAATTATAGCACTTTTTCCTGCTTCAATTCATTCCTGGAGCAGCCAAAATCAAATCTTCTTATATGTCAATATTCGAAATGAATTTGAAATGAGTTCATTCAGGTTTCCTCAGCAGATATCCCAAAATTAAATAAATAACTTCTTTTTTTCCCTCCTTCCTGACTCACATTTCCTCTTCCTTGAGGAAAATAATTACTACATCAGTGATCTCCTTAGTTCTCATTCTACAATGTCTATGTGTCATTACGATCCCTTCTTCCGTCTGGTTCTAGCAATACGATCTGGTGCCTACAATTTCATTTACTTCATCTCTTTCTCCTTTCCCTGTTTATGAAAACATAGCTGTAGATGGAAAGCAAATTATGTTGCTGCTGAGACTGTTATGTCTTGAACTGCTCTCTGATGGTTCTTCTTTCCAATTACAATGTAGAAAAGTCTATAATCTTACTATTTAGATCATGGCCAAGGAACAGCAGAACCAACATCTCCCAAGAATCTCAGGCCTGCTGAATCAGAATGTACAGCTTCAATGAGCCCTACACTGATTTATTTTGGGGAAAAGTCATTCGCTTCTATCTTGACTAAACATGACATTAATTGTGAATTGCAAAATTACCTGTCTTAGATTTTTTTCCATCCTTTATTTCTGTGGCTATATTCGAAACAGAATCTTTCTTGTCAATTGTAGCCTGAATGGGATGTAAAATAAAATAATCAATACATAAAATATATTTCATAGAATATACAGTTAATAGTTCAAAATATAAATAAGAGTGTAATTACCTTTAAGGCCAGCTGTTTCTGAGCATACACTGAAATCAAAAGGGATATGTTATCAATCATATGTAAATATAATAAAGGTATCCATGTATTCATGTAGTGTTAGCACCAAGCTGTATCCTCCTGCCTGTATTAGGGGATGTTTAGATGTTTTAAACTTGGTGTCTTGAAACAGGATCAACAGAAATACACTGAAGAAAATAGATATAAAGTCTTCATGAAATATAAACTTCCAATTTCAAAAGTAATAATATTTTTCATATGTCTAGTACTACAATAAAAACTTGTTATTATCAATGTAGATATGCTGAGTAATGAGGACCAATGTGATGTAATATCAGAGAGGCAACTCATACACCTGGGCATCAATGTCAAAGCAGATGGTAAAGGCTCCCGCATGTTTTTCATGCAAGACATCAGAAGGATTTATACCATTATACTACAAATATTCATCATGCTCTTTGACTTGCCTGATAATTGAGCAGGTACAAAACGACAATGACACTTTAGTTGAATGTACACTTCACAACTTCCCAGTGGAAGTGTCCTGAATTGATCAACTTACATATATGTTTGATGAATTCTACTGTATAATATTCTTTATTTCCCATATCCATGTGGTACAATAATGTGACTACATTTCTGGCATCCTCTAGTATAGCCTTCAGAAAGTTTCTTCATCCACTCGTGGCAAGAAGAAATAATACATAAACCTCATCAAAAAGTATGATAAATTATCAAATTTGACATACGAAATAAAGTTACTACAAGCATTAAATATGAGGAAGCTTTACATGTAGAAATCACTCCCATATTCACTGAAATAACCATTTTAAGAGTCAATTAATGGATTCAACATTATTTTTATTTCTAAAAAGTTCTGGTTTGACATATAATGTTGTTCTCTAAAGCATTTCACAAATTACTTTTTTATCCAAAAGTTAGCTCTTTGAAAAAAAAAAGCCAATGTATGCATATTCCTGTTTATTCCATTTGAATAATATCAACAAAACATATATCTCTGATGCCTAATAGTAACACAGAAAAGTGATGAGTCAGGATAGTTTATCCCATTTCTAGCACTCTTTCCTGCCTCCAGTAGTTCCTAGAGAAGCCAAAATCAAATCTTCTTTTATGAAAATAGTCTAAGTGCATCTGAAGTGAGTTCACTCAGGCTTCCTCAGCAGAAATCCCAAAATTACATAAATAAATTCTTTTCCCTCCTTCTTGCCTCACAATCTTTCTTCCTTGAGGAAAATAATTATTACATCAGTGGTCTCTTTAATTTTCCTTCTACAGTGTTTATGGATTATTAGGATCACTTCTTCCTTCTGGTTTTAGCAATATGATCTGATGCTTATAATTTCTGTTACTTCATATCTTTTCATTTTTTCCCTCTTGAAGAAAACATGCTGTAGAATTAAAGCAAAATTATGCTGCCCCTGAGCCTGGTATGTCCTGAACTGCTCTTTAATGGTTCTTCCCAATTTCAATGTAATAAAGTCTGTAAGCTTACTACTCAGATCATGGTCAAGGACCAGCAGCATCGGCATCAACTAAGAACTTATTACAAATTCAGAATCTCAGGCCTGCTGAATCAGAATGTGCAGCTTCAATGAGCCCTCCGCTAATTTGTTCATGGAAGAGAAGTTCTCTTCTATCTTGAGTGAACATGACATTAACTATGTATTGCAAAATTACCTGTCCCAGATTTTTGTACATCCTTTGTTTCTGTGGCTATATTCGAAACAGAATCTTTCTTGTCACTTGTAGTCTAAATGGGATTTGAAACAAAATAATCAATATAAAAAGTATATTTCATAGACTATAAGAGTTAATAGTTCAAAACATAAATGAGAGTACAAATACCTTCAAGGCCAGTTGTTTCTGAGAAGACTCTGAAAAAAAAGTATACATAATCAATCATAAGTTAGTATGATAAAGTTAACCACACATTCATGAAGTGTTTGCAACAAGCTGTATTTTCCTGCCTGTATTAGTGTTGACTTTGATGTTTTATACTTTGTGTCGTGGGACAGGAACTGACAGAAATACACTGAAGAAAACAGGAGTACAGTCTTCACGAAATATACACTTTCAATTTCAAATGTAATCTTATTCTTCACATGTATTACTTTAATAAAAAATGCCATTATAAAGGTGGATATGCCGAGTGATGAAGTAAAATGTAATCTAAAATCAGAGGAGCAACTCATACACCTGGGAATCAATGCCTACATACTACTGCATGTTTTTCATGCTAGACATCAGAAGGATTTATACCATTATACTACAAATATTCATCATGCTCTTCTACTTGCCTGATAATTGAGCAGGTACACAATGACTATGACATTTTAGTTGAATATATGCTTCACAAGTCCTCAGCGGAAGTGTAGCAGAATGATCAGCTTAGATATATGTTTGGTGAATTCTAATATACAATATGCTTTATTTATCACACCCATGTGGTGTAATAATGTGCCTACATTTTTTGTATCCTCTAGTATAGCCATCTGAAAGTTTATTCATTGACTCATGACAAGAAGGCATAACATGTAAACCATCAAAAAGTATAATAAATTATCAAATTTGACATACTTACACAAAAGAACAGTGCTACAAGCAATTAATATGAGGAAGCTTTTACATTTGGAAATTACTCCAATATTCATTGAAAATAACCACTTTAGGAGTCAACTAATGAATTCAACAATTATTTTTGATTTTAAAATAATCTTGTTTGAAGTAGCATGTTATCCTTTAAAAACTTTTCATTTAATTGCTATTATAACCAAGAGTGAGCTCCTTGAAAAACAAAACCACTGTATGCATATTCACCTTTACCTCATTCTAATAACTAATATCAACAAAGCATGTATATCTGATGCCCTATAGTAACAAACAGGAGTAATGAGTCAGTGTAGTTTACCCAATTCTAGCACTCTTTCTTGCTTCCAGTAGCTCCTGGAGCAGCCAAAACCAAATCTTCTTTTATGCAAATATTCTAAATGCATCTGAAGTGAGTTCACTTAGGTTTCCTCAGCAGGAACCCTCAAATTAAATAAATAACTTCTTCTTTTCCCTCCTTCCAGCCTCACACTCCCTCTTCCTTGAGAAACATAATTACTACATCAGTGGTCTCTAGTTCTCATTCTACAGTGTTTATCATTTATTATGGTCACATCTTTCCTCTGGTTTGAGCAATACAATTTGACGACTATAATTTCTATTACTTAATCTCTTTCTCCTTCCACTCTTGATGAAAACATACTGTAGAATTAAAGAAAATTTATGCTGTCCCCTGAGCTGCTTATGCCTTGCCTGCTCTCCAATGTTTCTTCTTCCCAATTTCAATGTAGGGAAGTCTATAATCTTACTACTCGGAACATGGCCAAGGAACAGCAGCATCAGCATCACCTGAGAACTTATTACAAATGCAGAATCTCAGGCCTGTTGAATAAAAATGTGTAGCTTCAATGAGCACCCTGATGATTTATTTGGGGAGGGGGGGAAGTTCTATCTTGAGTGATCATGACATTAAATGTGTATTGTTAAATTACCTGCTCCAGATTTTTGCCCATCTGCTATTCCTGTGGCTATATTTGAAAGAGAAACTTTCCTTTTAAACAGAGCCTGAATGGGATGAGAAGTAAAGTAATCAATACATAATATATATTTGATAGACTATATAGTTAATATTTTTAAATATAAATGAAAGAGTAATTACCTTCCAGGCAGATTGTTTCTGAGAAGACACTGAAAAGCAAATGGTATACATAATCAATCATATGTAAATATAATAAAGTTATCAGTACATTCATGCAGTGTTACCATCAAGCTGTATCCTGCTGCCTGTATTAGTGTAGGCTTTGATACTTTATACTTTGTGTCTTGGGACAGCAACATGACAGAAATACACTGAAGAAAACAGGAATACAGTCTTCAAAATATATACACTTACACAGTCAAATGTGATATGATTTGTCATATGTCTAAAACTCAAATAAAGCAGTGTCAATATCAATGTGGATATGCCAAGTGACGAGGACCAATGTGCTCTAAAATCAGAGGAGCAACTCATACACCTGTGAATCAATGTCAAAGCAGGTGGTACATACTCCCGCATATCTTTCATGCAAGACATCAGAAGGATTTATACCATTATGCTACAAACATTCATCATGCTCTTTAACTTGCAAACTGAGAAAGTATACAATTGTGATGACACTTCAGTTGAACATACACTTCACATCTCTTCATTGGAAGAGTCCTAAATGGATCAGCTTTGATATATGTTTGGTCAATCCTAGCAGATAATATTCATTATTTCTCACAACCATGTGGTGTAATAATGTGCCTACATTTCTTGTATCCTGTAGTTTAGCCTTCTGAAAGTTTCTTCATCCACCCATGGCAAAAAGGTATAATATATAAACCTTAATGAAAAGTATCATTAATTATCAATTTTGACATACTTTTACAAAGTAAAACTAGTACAAGCATTGGACACTAATAAACTTTTACATTCAAAAATCACTCCAACATTCATTAAAAATAACCCTATTAGAATTCTAATAATGAATTCAACATTAGTTTTGTTTCCAAAATAGTCTTATCTGGAGTACCATGTTATTCTCTACAGAATTTTCATTAAATAGCTATTTATACAAGAGTTAATTCCTTGGACAACAAGCCAATGTATTCATGTTCAAGTTTATCTCATTTTTATAACTAAAATCAACAAAATATGTATCTATGATGCCCAATAGTAACAAGAAGTAATGAGTCAGTGTGGTTTATCCCAATTCTAGAACTCTTTCCTGCTTCCAGTAGTTCCTGAAGTAGCCAGAATAAAATATTCTTTTAGGTAAATATTCTAAATGCTTCTGAAGTGAGTTCACTAGGTTTCTTCAGTAGAACCCCAAAATTACATATATCACTTCTTCTTTTCCCTCCTTCCTGCCTCACAATCCCTCCTCCTTGATAAATATAATTATTACATCAGTGGCCAACGTAGGGAAGTCTATAATCTTACTTCTCAGCTCATGGCCAACGACCAGCAGTATTAGTGTCACCCAAGAAATGCAGAATCTCAGGCCTGCTGAATCAGAATGTGCAGCTTGAATGGGCCCTCACTGATTTATTCATGGAAGAGAAGTTCTCTCCTAACTTGAGTGAACATGACATTAGCTGTGTATCACAAAATTACCTGTCCTGGGTTTTTTTCCATCCTTTATTTCTGTGGTTATATTTGAAACAGAATCTGTCTTGACACTTATAGCCTGAATGGGAATTGAGGCAAAAGAATCAATACATAAAGTATATTTCATAGACTATAAGAGTTAATAGTTCAAAACAAAAATGAGAGTATAATTACCTTCAAAGTCTGTTGTTTCTGAGAAGAATCTAAAAAAAAAGGTATAATCAATCATAAGTAAAATGATAAAGTTATCCATACATTCATGAAGTGTTTGCAACAAGCTGTATTTTCCTGCCTGTATTAGTGTAGGCTTTGATGTTTTATACTGTGTGTCTTGGAACATGATAGATATATACTGTAGAAAACAAGAGTACAGTCTTAACAAAAGGTATACTTCCAACTTCAAATGTAATATTATTCTTCGTATGTCTATTACAACCAAAAAAAGTGTCATTATCAATGTGAATATGCCGAGTGATTAGGTAAAATGTGATCTAAAATCAAAGGAGCAACTCATACACCTGGGAGTCAATGTCAAAGCAGGTGGTACATACTTCCACATATCTTTCATGCAAGACATCAGAAGGAGTTATATCATTATACTACAAACATTCATCATGCTCTTCTACTTGCCTCATAATTGAGCAGGTACACAATGACAATGACACTTTAGTTGAATGTACACTTTACAAGTCCTCAGTGGAAGTGTCCTGGATTGATCGGCTTGGATATATGTTTGGTGAATCATAGTATATAATATGCTTTATTTCTCACACCCATGTTGTGTATTAATATGCCTACAGTCGTATCCTCTAGTTTGCCTTCAGAATGTTTCTTCAGCCACTCATGGCAACAAGTCATAATATATAAACCTCATCAAAAAGTAAAATAAACTGTTAAATTTGACATACTTATACAAAATAAAGTTGTTAAGAGCATTAGATATGAATATGTATGAATAAGCTTTTACATTTGGAAATCACTCCAACATCCATTAAAAATGACTATCAGAGTCAATTAATGAATTCAGCATTATTTTTGTTTCTAAAATAGTCTGGATTGATATATCACATTATTCTCTAAAGCATTTTCCTCAAATTGCTATTTCATCCAAAAGTTATCTCTCTGGAAAACAAAGCCAATGTATGCATATTCATGATTATCTCATTTAAATAACTAATATCAACAAAATATACATCTCTGTTGCCCAACAGTAGCAAAGAGGAGTAATGAGTCACTGTAGTTTATCTCAATTCTAGCATTGTTTCCTGCTTCCAATATTGGAGCAGCCAAAACCAAATCTTCTTATACAAAATATCCTTAATGTATCTGAAGTGAGTTCCCACAGGTTTCCCCAGCAGAAACCAAAAAAAATCACATAAATAACTTCTTATTTTCCCTCCTTCCGGCCTCACAATCCATCCTTCTTGAGAACAATAATTGCCATATCAGTGGTCTCATCAGTTCTCATTCTACAGTGTTATGGGTCATTACGATCAGTTCTTTCTTATAGTTTTAGCAATACGATCAGATGCTGGTAATTTCCGTTACTTCATCTCTTTCTTTTTTCCCTCTTGATGGAAAAATGCTGTAGAATTAAAGTAACATTATGCTGTCCCCTGAGCCTGGTATGTCTTGCACTGCTCTTTAATGGTTTTTCTTCCCAATTTCAATGTAGAGAAGTTTACAATCTTACTACTCAGATCATGGCCAAGGATCAGCAGCATCAGTGTCACCGGAGAACTTACTACAAGTGCATAATCTCAGGCCTGCTGAATCAGAAGGTGCAGCTTCAATTAGACCCTGCTGATTTATTCAGGGAAAAGAAGCTCTTTTCTATCTTAAGTGAACATGACATTAAATGTGTATTACAAAATTACCTGTCCCAGATTTTTGTTCATCCTTTATTTCTGTGGCTATATTCGAAACAGAATCTTTCTTGTCAGTTGCAGCCTGAATAGGATTTGAAACAAAATATTCAATACATAAAGTATATTTTACAGACTATACAGTTAACAATTATAAACATAAATGAGAGTGTAATTACCTTCAAAGTTGGTTGTTTCTGAGAAGACACTAAAAAGAAAAAGGGATACATAATCGCTCATAGGTAAATATAATAGTTATCCATACTTTCATACATAATCGCTCATATGTAAATATGATAGTTATCCATACTTTCCATACTTATCCATACTTTCATGCAGTGTTACAATCAAGCAGTATTTTCCTGCCTGTATTAGTATAGTCGTTGATGTTTTATACTTTGTGGCTTGGAATAGGAACATGACAGAAATACACTGAAGAAAACATGAATACAGGCTTCACAAAATATACTCTTACAATTTGAAATGTGATATCATTTGTCATATGTCTAAAACTAAAACATTGTCAGTATCAATGTGGATATGCCAAGTCATGAGGACAAATGTGATCTGAAATCAGAGAAACAACTGGTACATCCTGGAATCAATGTCAAACAGGTGGTACACACTTTCACTTGTCTTTCATGCAGAACATCAGAAGGATTTATACCATTATACTATAAATATTCATGATGTTCTTTAACTTGCCTGATAACTGGAAAGGTACACAATGGCAATGACACTTTAGTTGAATGTATACTTTGACAAGTCCTGAGTGGAAGTGTTCTGGACTGATCAGCCTGAATATGTGTTTAGTAAATTCTAGTATGTAATATTAATTATTTGTCGCACACATATGGTGAAACTCTGTGTTCACATTTCTTTTATCTTCTCGTTTAGGCTTCAAAAGTTTCTTCATCCACTCATAGCAACTAGGTATAACATATAAACCTCATCAAAAAGTATAATAAATTATCAAATTTGACATTCTTACACAAAATAAAGTTGCTACAAGCATTAGATATGAATAAGCTTTTACTTTTGGAAATCACTCCAATAGTTATTGAAAATGGCCATTTTATAAGAGTCAATGAATTCAATATTATTTTTGTTTCTAAAATAGGTTTGTAGTATCATGTTGTTCTCTTTTTATTATAAATACTTATTGTGCAAAACGTGATGTCTTAAAACAGTTATACACTGTAGAATGGCTCAAGCAAGCTAATTATCATGTGAATTATTTCCCATCCTTATTTTTTTGTGGTGAAGACTGCTTAAAATCTGATCTTCAATTTTCAGTAATAAATTGTTATTAATTATACTCATCATGTTGTACAATAGATTATAATTATCATGCTGTACAATAGATTTCTTGGACTTATTCTTCATGTCTAACTGAAATGTTTTATTTATATGTACATATATATATATATATATATATATATATAGTTGTACTTTAGGTTCTGGGGTACATGTGCTGAACATGCTGGATTATTGCATAGGTACATACATCACAATGTGGTTTGCTGCCTCCATCCCCCCATCACCTATATCTGGCATTTCTCCCCATATTATCCCTCCCCTAATCCCCCTACCAACAGACCCCAGTGTGTGATGCTCCCCTCCCTGTGTCCATGTGTTCTCATTGCTCAACACCTGCCTATGAGTGAGAACACACAGTATTTGATTTTCTGTTCTTGTGTCAGTTTGCTGAGAATGATGGCTTCCGGATTCATCCATATCCCTACAAATGACACAAACTCATCATGTTTTATGGCTACACAGTATCCCATGGTGTATATGTGCCACATTTTCCTTGTCCAGTCTATCATTGATGGGCATTTGGGTTGGTTCCAGGTCTTTGCTATTGTAAATGGTGCCGCAATGAACATACATGTGCATGTGTCTTTATAATAGAACGACTTATAATCCTTTGGATATATACCCAGTAATGGGGTTGCTGGGTCAAATGGAATTTCTATTTCTAGGTCTTTGAGGAATTGCCACACTATCTTCCACAATGGTTGAACTAATTTGCACTCCCACCAACAGTGTAAAACTGTTCCTATTTCTCGACATCCTCTCCTGCATCTGTTGTCTCTAGATTTTTTAACGATCGCCATTCTAACTGGCGTGATATGGTATCTCAATGTGGTTTTGATTTGCATTTCTCTAATGACCAGTGATGATGAGCATTTTTTCACGTTTGTTGGTCTCATAAATGTCTTCTTTTGAAAAGTATCCATTCATATCATTCGCTCACTTTTGAATGGGTTTGTTTCCTTCTTGTAAATCTGTTTTAGTTCTTTGTAGATTCTGGATATAAGCCCTTTGTCAGATGGGTTGATTGCAAAAATTTTTTCCCATTCTGTTGGTTGCTGGTTCACTCTCATGATTATTTCTTTTACTGTACAGAAGCTCTGGAGTTTAGTTAGATCCCATTTGTCTATTTTGGCTTATGTTGCCAATGCTTTTGGTGTTTTAGTCATGAAGTCCTTGCCTATGCCTATGTCCTGAATGGTTTTGCCTAGGTTTTCTTCTAGGACTTTTATGGTTTTACATCTTATGTTTAAGTCTTTAATCCATCTGGAGTTAATTTTAGTGTAAGTTGTCAGGAAGGGGTCCAGTTTCTGTTTCCTGCACATGGCTAGCCAGTTTTCCCAATGCCAATTTATTAAACAGGGAATCCTTTCCCCATTGCCTGTTTTTGTCAGGTTTGTCAAAGATCAGATGGTCATAGATGTGTGGCGTTGCCTCTGAGGTCTCTCTTCTGTTCCATTGGTCTATCTCTCTGTTTTGGTACCAGTACCATGCTGTTTTGATAGCTGTAACCTTGTAGTATAGTTTGAAGTCAGGTAGCTTGATACCTCCAGCTTTGTTCTTTTTGCTTAGGATTGCCTTGGCTATCTATGCAGGCCCTGTTTTAGTTCCATATGAAGTTTAAAGTGGTTTTTTCCAGTTCTGTGAAGAAGGCATTGGTAGCTTGATAGGGATAGCATTGAATCTATAAATTATTTTGGACAGTATGGCCATTTTCATCATATTGATTTTTCCTAACCATAAGCATGGAATGTTTTTCCATCTGTTTGTGTCCTCTCTTACGTCCTTGAGCAGTGGTTTGTAGTTCTCCTTAAAGAGTTCCTTTACATTCTTTGCTAGTTGTATTCCCAGGTATTTTATTCTCTTTGTAGCAATTGTGAATGGCAGTTCGTTCTTGATTTGGCTGTCTTTTAGTCTGCTATTGGTATATAGGAATGCTTGTGATTTCTGCACATTGATTTTGTATCCTCAGATTTTGCTGAAGTTGCTTATGAGTTTAAGGAGATTTTGGGCTGAGAGGATGGGGTCTTCTAAATATATAATCATTTTGTCTGCAAATAGAGACAATTTGACTTCCTCCTTTCCTAATTGAATACCCTTTATTTCTTTTTCTTGTCTGGTTGCTCTGGCTAGAATTTCCAATACTCTATTGAATAGGAGTTGTGAGAGAGGGCATCCTTGTCTAGTGCCAGATTTCAAAGGAAGTACCTCCGGTTTTTGCCCATTCAGTATGATATTGGCTGTGGGTTTGTCATAAATAGCTTTTATTGTTTTGAGATGCGTTTCATCTATACCTAGTTTATTGAGAGTTTTTCGCATAAAGGGCTGTTGAATTTTGTCAAAGGTCTTCTCTACATCTATTGAGATAACCATGTGGTTTTTGTCTTTGGTTCTGTTTATGTGGTGGGTTATGTTTATAGGCTTGCGTATGTTGAACCAGCTTTGCATCCCCAGGATGAAGCCTACTTGATCGTGTTGGATAAGCTTTTTGATTTGCTTTTGCAATCAGTGTGCCAGTATTTTACTGAGGATTTTTGTATCTATGTTCATCATGGATATTAGCCTGAAGTTTTCTTGTTTTTTTGGGTCTCTGCCAGGTTTTGGTATCAGGATGATGTTGGTCTCATAAAATTGAGAAGGATTCCCTCTTTTTGAATTGTTGGGAATAGTTTCAGAAGGAGTGGTACCAGCTCATCTTTGTACACCTGGTACAATTTGGCTGTGAACCCATCTGGACCTGGGCTTTTTTTGGTTGGTAGGCTATTAATTGCTGCCTCAACTTCAGCCCTTGTTTTGGTCTCTTGAAGGTTTCAACTTCTTCCTGGTTTAGGCTTAGAAGGGTGCATGTGTCCAGGAATTTATCCATTTCTTCCAGGTTTACTGGTTTACATGCATAGAGCTGTCTGTAGTAATCTCTGATGGTAGTTTGTATTTCTGTGGAATCAATGGTGATAGCCCCTTTATCATTTTTTATTGCATCTATTTGATTCTTCTCTCTTTTTTTTCTATTTATCTGGCTAGCAGTCTGTGTATTTTGTTTATGTTTTCAAAAAACCAGCTCATGGATTTATTGATTTTTGAAGGATTTTGTGTGTGTGTTTATCGCCTTCAGTTTTGTGCTGATCCTGTTATTTCTTGTTTTCTGCTAGCTTCTGAGTTTTTTTGATCTTGCTCCTCTAGCTCATTTAATTTTGATGATAGAGTGTCAATTTTAGATCTTTCCTTGCTTCTCATGTGGGCGTTTACTGCTATAAATTTCCCTCTAGACTAAGACGGCCAAATAGGAACAGTTCTGGAGTGTAGTTCCCAGCAAGAACAATGCAGAGGATTAGTCATCACCGCATTCCCAAATGAGTTTTTACTGCCCACAGACCAGGAAATTCCCAAGCTGAAATATGCCACAAGTTTCCAGCATGTCTGTTTCAGCTGGTACTGCAGGTCTTTGCACAAAAACACACACAAATCTGGGTGGCTCTTTCAACTGGTGCCTGGAATGCCTGGGATACAGAGCTGCACATTCAACTAAAAAAGGGGGGGCTGAAACATGGAGCCAGGTGATCTGGCTCAGCGGGTCACACCCCTTACAAAGACCAGCAATCTGCTATGCTCTGGATTGAGAGTTTCGCAGCAAGTGCAGCTGGATGCAGGATGGTCCAGCTTGGTGGGGGAAAGGGCATCAGCCATTACCAAGGCAGTCCACCACTACCGAGGTAGTCCACCATTACCAAGGCAATCGGCCATTATTGAGGCAGTCCACCATTACTGAGGCAATCCACCACTACTAAGGTAGACTGCCATTACTGAGGCAGCTCTAATCATACCTATGTAAACAAAACTGCAAGGAAGTTCACACAGCAGCTGGGCAAAGCCCATGGCAGCTCAGCAACATCT